AATTTTTGTTCATTTTTCATCGGACTTGTGCATTCATTTAGTAACGAATCCGTACGCACGCAACACTATATTTATGCCAGAAATTTTTAAAAAAAGTATTAGGACATTAAATTTAGTCTATATTACTTATACCAAATTAGATTTATTAATGAGTAAATGAATGGAATGTTTTCCCCCTTCCAAATTATGATAAGTATATAGCTTTTAAAAATAATTAATTTAAGGCAGATATAAAGTTCAGAAATTCTATATTTCCACGTGAATACTTTTTCTGCAGCGCAAAGTGGTCAGTAAAAAAATTTAATATTTATAATATAATACTTTGAATAAAAATATAAAAAAAAATTGTAATGTCTCTTAGGAAGCATAACTATAGACCTTAAAAGGACTATTGGAGAATTATCTTTTAGCCGTGTGAAACAAAACAAAACAAAACAAAAGTCAGAAGAAGAGTGTGTAAGATCCTTTTATTTGAACACAACAATTTACCCAACTTGGATTTACACAAGCTAAGCACTTTTGGCTTAACATAAATACGTAATGATGAACAAATTCAAAATGTGGTAGATTAGTTAACGGCTCATAACGCGCAGGCAAGGCTCTGGTTTATAGAAAACCGGCGAGATAAAGCTAAATGGCTAGAAGCACTCAACGCCACTAAATCAAGTCGCTAATAATCAAGGCACAGCGTAGCAGGCAGACACGCTCTAAAACTAACTTCCGAAACTCTTGCTCAAATGGCACTTCTTTCTACCTTAATCTGAATAAATGTTCGCTATCTCATTTGCATTCTGGCATGAAAAGCGGGGGTGAAAAGAGAGTGATAAGAAAGTCTTTCAACTTAAATATTAACTATTAGTTAAAAATAAATAAATAAAACTCAGAAAATGCTTAGAATTATAATAATACAGTATAGTTACTTCACTATATGTTTTATAACAGTTTATTTACTTACAGCACCTAACTCGTATTAGTAAATGAGCGCCATATTTAAATATATTCACTTAACAAAGAGATGATACAATTCTGAAGTCATCAAAATATGTATTTCCGATACAAAATTAGCTTATACAATATATATATATATATATATATATATCGTCAAAGGACAATTTGAAGGTTTGAAAGTCAAGATTTCTCATACTTCAAGTGTTAGCGTACGTATGTCGGAAATTTAGTTTTGCTGTAAGATATGCTTAAAGCTAATTCTGTCTATTAAGTGTATTATAGTATTACATTAAGTTAGCAGCCCATTAATCAGCCACATAACTTGTTTGTCGGTTAGGCACTCCTGAGAACACGTACGAAAGGCTTATGTCTTCAGTTTTTCTTTTGAATTATAATAACCCAGTCGATTATCAGTATGCCAAAATTAAAAAGAAAATGACCGTTAATCAGAATTCGAATTAATCAAACCTGTGACAGACATAAATATTATTACTTTCCTTAGTAATTAAAATATTATTTTAATTCATAATCTAGAGTATAAAAATAATTAGATCAATTATGTTTTTTGTATAAATATCAATGAAGTTGTTGCAACAAATCGAAAATCTCGAAATAAATTCTGGGGAAAACGATACTGACACACATCAAAGAATCAAATCAGCTCTGTGCCACACTAACAGTTTAAAATAACAATAAATAATAATAAACCGCTTTTTCGCTGAAATATACTCGATGTTAAAAAAACTATGCCTCTGAAATACTGTTAGAAAAAGAAATGAATAATTGCAAAAAACATGGAAAACAGCTAATTTAAATCATTTTTATGCAAATAGGCTCAGTTTGCAACACTGGCGGGTAAACGCTTAGAAGGATAGCTATAGTTATTCAACTCTTCTTATCTGAATAAACAAGTAATATTTTGTTAACTGTTTAGCTTTCAAAATAAACAGTTAAGTGCTCAGAAAAATAGACACATTTTCGAGTAATTTGTATAACTAAGCAAGGATCCCGGACATCAATTCTAGGATGCCTGATATAAAAGCTTGAAATCATTTTTTTGGTTTATTCTCGTCCTAAAATAATGAATTGCATTTTGTTCCTGCATAAACTTCAAGCAAGATGTTTCGTTTAGTGTTCTTTATAATGATATTTGGTGGTACGTATGAATTCTCATATATTATTTTTAAATATCTGTGGAATATTTTAATCAAAAATTATGTCTACATTAACATATTACTGAGCAGCCCAGTTGGGAAATAAGTTAAATTTTTATATTGCGACTCAATATTTTAACAGATTTTGATTTATATTACGATTAAAGTTACAGAGTTAAAAATTACATAATAATGTTAATTTCTATTTTGATTTTCGTAATATTCTAAATTGAATCTCAAATATTCTTTTCCGAATCTTTGCATTCGTAGAGCAAGAGAATGATCAAGAAAGTTTATTGTATTAAAACTACTCTATTCAGGTTTGGGAGGTTAGATTACCTATTTCCAACGCAACGCTTGACTTTAGGAAAATATCTAACCATCCGAATAATTAACTGCTAATTATAATGCCACGCTATGCAGTAATAAAAAGTGTATATTTTCTAGAGATGTTTCTAAGAATGCCATGATTCATGATAAAATTATTTCTCCATCCGAAATGAAAATTTGATCTGTTAATGGGCAGATGAATGAGACTGCTTGAGCAATAGTAATTATCTCAGGGTTCAATTCCTGGTGAAACGGGTTGCTAAATAAGTGTCTCTGTAGTTTTCCCCTTCGCAACACAAATACGAGCCAGTTTTCTTTAAAAAGTTCTCCAAGAAGGCATCCCTCCCGTTAAGCAAATAGCTTCCGCGTGCTCTGCCATATTCGACTAACTCATCAGTTTTCAATTTCTTTTTGGCTAATTGACTCCTTCCAGAGATTTATTTTGCTCAGCTCTTCTCTATCCTTGCAAAATTAAGATATCAGGTGTTTTTTCTATATAATCATCCGAAGGCACGGATTGAAAATGCATGAAACGTTTTATCTATGTATTGCACTTGCATTGAAACAAATTATTAATTAAAAATCGTAATGTAACAGAAAAACAGAATGGTAACAATTAAATATTTCTCAAACCTTCACAGTAGTGAACTTGCGAACTATGCACAGACTCCTGCCACAGCACCCAACGGAGTAATTGAAAGATCGTGCGAATTAAGCACTGATTATGCTACAACTACAGATTTGCCATCATATTTTGAGAATAATGGAGCAAAGGTTGTTTTACAGCATAACTTTAGGTAATGAAGAATCTGTATGCGTGTGTATATGTATGTTCTTCACATTGTGGAAAAACGATGGAATCTAGAGCCACCAAATTTTGAATATCCTTAGTTCTTCACCCAAACATGTGAACAAAATTATATACAGAATAATTTTGAATTTTGAATTTGTATCTTTATTTATGTTGTGATCTGCGCGAATTTTGGTAAAAACTCAGCTGTTTAAAAGCTTTATGTTATCACTTGGAAGAACGTAAGATATTTATGTTTCATATTTAATGAGAAAATCAGCCATACAAAAGAAGTGTGTTGCCACTCGGGTAAACGTTGTATATCTGTATTTCAAATTTAATAAACAAACTCATGATTTAAAAGTAATATGCAACCACTGCCCGAATTAAAATAATTGATCTTCCACGCAGCAGTATGTTGTCGTTTAGAAAAGCGTGAGTTATTTTATTTTATTTCAAATTATTCTGCTGTTAACAAATTAAGCGATTTAAAAGGAAGGAACGCAGATTCATTTCAACTGTTATTAATTACTATCTGGACTCTTTAAATTACCTTAATTGGATTTATTAAAATCATTATATGTAATAAAACTGTACCATTATTGTAATAAGATAAGATGACTTGGCGAAAGAAAGTTGCTATGGATTTTTACATATATATATATGTAATAATAAAATTCCATAGTCAAGAATACACTTAAAATTCTAACTGTATGTTCTTTTCATTTTTAATGGCGACTGTCTCTTATTTGAAAGTACGTGGAATTAAATCCACAGCCCCGTAGTCAAGTTGTTTTTCCCGCCTTTTCTACAAGTACAGTTATAGAATGTTCTGGAAATATTTAAAGCGAACTGGATTGGCTGACGAGGCTGACGTCATTTCTTGGAAGCTCCGCCTTTCCAGAGGCTATAAAAGGATTCGCAAAAGAATATCGGGGCTTTTTTCTTAAATGTCACGATGCAGTAAACTTCATACAAAATATTATTAGTAGTTCTTTTTTATTTACTCCGGATATCTGATTTTGTAACTGCTTTTTCTCTGGACCAATAATAAATGGATCTTGTTTTTTAAACTTATCGTCTGATAATTTAAGCTACGACTACATCTATATTTCTTCAACGATCTATTTATTCTGGACAAAATCTGATACATCACACACACATATATATATATTTCACACTAGCTATTTTAAGGTTCAGGCCGTGCAAGTGGCCAGTTGGAATAGAAAACTTAAATTATATGCAGCTTGGATCAACTTGAGTGAAAGGTTAATTAATACAGTTTGATACGTTTCTTGGGAAATGGTCATTCGCGAATTACTCAAAATTATTTACTAAAAGCAGAGAGTGAACCGATGTCCCCCAATTATAATGATGCAGTCTAAGTTCAGTACATTTTAACTGAGTGTCCGTATTTTATGAAACATTTTAACGAATGTGTTCATAATTAACATCTTAAACATATTTAAGGCATTATTGATATTCCGCCATAAAAACTATGATGCAATTTTCTTTGAGATTTATAAATTAATTTATTTATCAAACTTGACCGCCAATCGTTATCTCGCGTTTGATAATTGTTATCTCTATCACTTTCTGAAACTAGTGTAGCAGAATATTGTTATCTATAAGTTAATATCATTATCGTCACTAATCGGGACTCCAAAAATTTCTCGAATTCTGACAAATGATTAAAACAGATATGGATAATTTTTATCATCATCCAGCATTTTATGAGATAAAAAGTCGTTTTTATTGTGAAACAATGTCTACTCGATATAAGACAAACACGTGTTAGCTATTGAAGATTGAAACTTTGATGTTGTAACTTGTTTGATTGAAACTTTGATGTTGTAAGGTAAAAGGTGCTACAAAGAAGTATAAATTGGTAAGATTTCTGTCGATAAGCATTAAAAAAATAAGCTTTAATAGGCTATCGGAAAGTAAGCTTGTCAGTAAAAAATATCAATTGATAGGATAGGATTTTTATTAGAAAGCATTAATAAAAATAAGCATTAAATGGCTATCAAAAAGTAAATATTTTTTCAAAAAATACAAAAAATATCTGTTAATAGGATTTCTTTCGGCAAGCAGTGTCTCGTATTAACTAAAATCTAATGTATGAAGGATCCGACTAATTGGTAAATTTCCCTTTACTTAGTATATATTTTAAAGATTAAATTGCTTGAAATTACTGATAAATTATTAATGGTGCTTTTCGGTTAATGAGGTTCCCCCACTTTTCTGTTCTTTTTTTTTTAACTGCCTTCGGATTAACTGGAAGGTCATTTTCAGTGTTCAACCAGGTTCTGACGTCCGGTGTCATTTAAGGTTCTGAGTTGACTGTTATATGTAATCCACACATTTATATATATAGAACACATTTATAAAATTTGTTTAACTTTTAAAACTTTTACTGGTAGGCTATTTTTCGAAGTGTTACGTTATAATCCGAAGTTTCTAGATTTCAAGTTATTTAAAAGCCTTGGAAAGAAGTTAACATTTTCTTTTAACAGTTTTCGCATCCTGACAAGACAAGAAATTATTGCCAATCGACGAAACCTAAAGCTTTTTTATCGCTCGCCTTTTATCACTTTTTAATCGCTTTTTTAGTATATAATGAAAGTGCGCTGTCGTAACAGAGTGAATCATTTAGAAAACAATTCAACCCATTCTTTTAAACATTATGAAATTATTAGTTCTGTGTAACCGAATGTCAATATTTTTTAGTAGTTCAATAGCTTAGCAACGCGCTCGCACTTCCAGATGAATTAGAAGATACTCGTATAATGCGTTGCTATGCAACGTAAACGTCTGCACTGGCTAACCTGCTAAAAATAGCTCAGGTATCAGGAACATCAATTCTTGTTCGGTTTCATCTGGAGAAAACTGTATTATTCTTAAGCACTTTAAGAAGGTAACACGAAATAATTGCATATAACGCAACAAAAAATCGTACACGCAGTTCGATTATTTAATCTATGATCTTAATTTTTTTATGATGTATTAAAGTATGAACATAATTTGATAGTATGTAAGGATTATGTTAATTTTATTAACAGTTAAATTTTAAGTTAAAGTTCCTTTCCTGTCAAATTCTTAACTTCAACTTACTACTTCCGGCCAGAACGTACTTTTGGAATCTTGCTGAATATTTAATGAGGAGGAGCGGTATTTAAACCTCGAAGTTACTTAGCCAGAGAGAATCAGAGTTTCTGATTTACGCCCGTCTTGCCTTTTTAGGCTACTCTCTTCTCTCAAAGCTGTTAATACGCTCGGCCGTAGTCTCAGGCCCTTGCTAAGCTTCGTAGTCAAATAAGTTAAGGGGCCAACTCGATTTGAACCTTGATAGTAGCTTCGGCTATACTTTTTAGTTAATCTTAGTTTTAGTTTAATTCTTAGTCTTTTAAGTTCAAGTCCAAGTGCGGCTTTGCTTGTACACTCCCAGGCGGAGTTTTGTTAAATCTTATTGAAATAATAAAGGGTTAGTTACCCTTCTATCTTGTTGTTTCTTGTCACCGAACTCAAGCGATTATTCGCTTATCAGTTCTTAGATTCTTCACTCCCAACATTAACTTAGAATTCCAAAGTGAGGAACTCTACAAGCCAAACTGTAGAATGCCTAAGTGTTTCGACGTTTTAATTCAAAATAGAATCACGTTGTGGTGTCAACAGTAGTTTCATTATATCAAGATATGCACAAATGAAGAAATCCTGACGGAAGTAAAATCAACTAATTATTCTAAAAATTAGTAAATTAGGAAAAGTGATTATAAGTATAAAATATTGAAATTTCGCAAAAATTCTCGCTGTTGCTGGGGTGTTTATAAATGTATAAAGATACAGAGATAAACAGATATCGTTACATATAAAGAGAGAGAGATATGTATTTAAATTTACTTATTTCTGATAAAAGAAAGTTTTTAATTAACTTGATTAGTATGAATTTTCCTCATCCAGAACAAATGTGATAGTTATAAAATGTATAAACACAAATATAAGAAGAGGAAAACAATATACATGTGAATAAAAAATTAAAAACTGCATGCCAAAATGGAAATATTTCAAATGTAAAATATTAGATAAAAGGGAATATTTACAATGAAATTCAAAATATGTGAATAAACACCGATATCACAGAACAAGAACCAAAAAATTAAACAAATTTATTTTAGTGAAAAAAAAAATTAAAAAAAAAAAAATCTGAAATGTTTCAGATTTTAAATTACGTCCAAAGGGGCGTTTTTTAACATTTTGTGTGTTACCTTTCTTTATTAAATATCATGTTCCTCGCACTTAATCCATAAGATCCAGTGCAACAGCAATATCGCAAAATAGTTTTAAAACGAGCATATCTTTAGAATTTCCGATACAGAGACTCACGCGCTGGAGATAAAAATGTTTTTTTCTGCACAACGTTGCCATTGCTCGCTTTGAAATCCTTGAGTTTGTTAATCAAAAATTCGTCAAAGTTTTAAAAAAATAGGGAATCGATCATAAAAACAAATTTCAAATTTCAAATTTGGTCTTCCACATGCTCATATTCGTTGGAGGATTACGTTATTCAAAATTCGATGACTCTATGTACCGTTGTTTTATCACAATACGAGAAATATACATACATTTATGCAGATTTTTCATTATTTAATTTCTTCAAATATAATGCAGGACTCTAACATTTTGTGGCAACAGTTTGAAAAGTGAACCGACATTTATGAGTCCGACGCAAAATGCTAAAACGAAACTAATAGTCCTTTGGGATTCAAATCCCTTTGGACTAATAAAATACAGTTGAAGCAATGTGAGAATGAAAATAAACATTTACAATGATATAATAATGTGAAAATAAAATGATCATATTGTTACGTTTTTCTCTTATTCTAACACCAGTTGTTGCGTTATTTTCTTCCTTCACGTTCATACGGGGTTTGCAGATTTGGAGTGAATAACGACGACACTTGATGAAGTATCGAAACACACTTTATTTACCAATATCAATCGGGGCAGCTCCAAAACACTTTTACAGTCGGCGAAGATCTACTACAAACACGTTGACACGATCAGCGACACAGCCTTCAGGTTATCAGGCTATCACGCTGGAGACAGCTTCACTGCAAAGCACCAGAGTACAGCTCCCAACTCTGCTCGGTCGTTCTTGGAACTCCACGTACTCTCGAGACTCTTCACGCTACAACTCGTGATGCACTCGAGGACACACGAGCACAGCTCCCGACTCTTCGGTTCAGTCGTTTCCGGAGCTCAACACGCTCTCTCGATGATGCACTAACCGCGATATATTACGAGACTCTTGCGGTGCACTCGACGACCCACTCGGCACTCGCTGCCCGGCTGTCAACTCGATCCACTCCGCAGGGACTGATTCGCTAGACGAGACACACACACTCGCCCTCTCGACGAGGCACTCTAACTTGCCCTCTCGATGAAGCACACTCTCGATGCTAACTGACTGACTGCGGACCAGCAGAGTTTATATAGCTTTCGGCTTGTGTTCGAGAACATTCTGGGCTAAACCGGAAAGAATTCGTTCCAGAAGGTTCTCCATCAGTCCATGGCATGTCGGCAATTTTGTCGCCGAAGGGGCGATTTCTCGCCAAATATGGCAACCCTGCATCCCCTTGCCATTTTATGGCAAACCTAAAACTGCTTTGCGGGGAAGCCATCTTACCGCCCCTGTACAGTTTGTAACAATATATAGTAGCTCACATTTTTCAGGACACTTGTGTTTTTGAATTTATTTGAAAATATGAATAATTAAATATTAGCAAAATAACTTTTTTTAACATATATAGTATTCATCATCTGGTTTGAAACTTGCTTGCTTTGAGAGTAATTACTCAAATAATTTTTTTTTGTAAAAAAAAAAAAAAAAAAAAAAATCAAGAAGTTCCGAAAATGAACTTACATAAACATTCGGACACTTTAAACCAGGGATTGGCAACCTTTTTATCATCGAGTGCACAAAAAAAATTTAAAATTCTTAGCGGGCGCCACCAATTCAAATTTCATAATCAAATTTCAAACGTCATATATTTTGTTTAAAAGATATAACGTTATTGAGCTAAATAGCATTTACTTATAATTTATACTCTTAATTTTTTTTTTTTTTTGATATGTTAATGTGAAATTTGTGTATGTAATTCATCTGATAACGTAGTATAATCGACAATATAATTTGAGTTGCATGTTCTTAAACAATTACGTAACTGCGAATCAGTATGTTTTTAACGGTGCTTCAAACAAGTCATATTTGCAAAAAACGTCTCACGATTTTTGGTACTTGAGCAATAAGCATTCATCTTTACGGTACATGACGAAATAAGATACTGATTTCTGTTTATCAAGCTCCAAAATATCTTGTTAGTTTCATAAGATTTTAAAATAACGTCATTTTGCACAGTTACTATTTCTAAGTTTTCCATATTAAGATGAAAATAGTAAAAAATTACTATAGCCATGTTTTCTGTATTCGTAATGTTACAGGGATTTATAAAGAATTTTAAAATAGGCTCTAAATTTGCAATGTCAACAAATTATCTAGAATCAAATTCAGTTTGCACTGCAGACACAGTTTGAGGATATGTGTCTGTATTAATGTAACGCTCTTTCCGACTTTCTGCCTTCTGCCATTTTTTTTTGGGAGGGGGGAGGGTTAATAAGAGATCATACCTATACAATTCGAACACTGACTTCAAGCTATTGATATCGCTAATCATATCAGCAACGTCATTATTCCTGCCCTGTAATTTCAAATTTAGTTCATAAATTTCAGCGTTAAATCGGTCAAAAAAGCCAAATTTGTTAACTAGTTTCTGTCTTCCAGCTGTTCGTAGTTTCCTTCCTCGAGTAGAAGTGGGCGGGACAATAGAA